GAGAAAAATGATGCCATTTTGCTCTTCTTTTACCCCAATAGCCTAGTTTTGTACAGTCGACTACCTATATAATGATGACCTGGTATAATCACTAAGTAATCAGACAGCAAGCAAATCAGAGGGGAAAAAAATGAAAAAGTAACAAGACTAGTAATGAATTGTGTTAATGTCCTTGGAATATTTCTTGCCTCACTCATTTGTAAAAGTTAAAAGAATTTTTATTTTTTTCCTTTGGAAAAATATGATACATACCATACTAAACAATGAGGAATTCTGCAGACCAACTTGGAGAACTTATCAAGGAATAGTCTGGGGAAAGCAAAACCAAATAAATAAAACCTATAAATGAATTAAGAATATAACCTCTGTATATATTATATTGTGATTTATCAATGCTCTTTTGTATTGACTTATAATTTTTTTTTTTTTTTTTGAGATGGAGCCTCAAGCTATTCTCCTGGGTAGAGTGCCATGGCATCATGCTCACAGCAACCTCCAACTCCTGGGCTCAAGCGAGTCTCCTGCCTCAGCCTCCCAAGTAACTAGGACTACAGGTGCCCACCACAACGCCTGGCCATTTTTTGGTTGCAGCCATCATTGTTGTTTGGCGGGCCCGGGCTGGGGATTCCAACCCGCCACCTTAGGTGTATCCGGCTGGCACTCTAGGTGCTTGAGCCACAGGCGCCGAGCCAGACTTATAATTTTCATTTTGTTTTTCATTGGGATTTTTAGCTGTGACTATAGTTTTTATGTACAACAAGAATCCTTATATCACCGACAGCTAATCAATTGTAACTTTTCCATTGTAATAAAAGATTGGAGACCTCACTTTTCACTTCCTTCTTACATTGCTATTACTACCGCAAATAATCTTTTGAAATGAATTTATTACCTCTTTGCATAGAAAGATGAATACTGGAAAAGTGAAGATGAGGCCTCTCGCTAAAGTTAAATACTTGAATGTCCTTGTTATTTTATTGTTAGTTACCAGATTAATCCATATTCTTCCAAAGATAGGCAATATTTCATTTTTCAGTTGCAACTCTTTTTCTTTTGCTTTTAGCTGTGGAAAATAAAAGTAGACTTGCCTGTGCATAAACACGCACACAATTCTAACTGTTTCCCATAAGAATCGGTAGGTTTGATTATGAAATTATGAGAAAGAAAGAAGAAATTATGAGAAATATTTCTCCTTGTCTTAAGAGACATAAACAATTTCAGTTTTTATATACAAAACAAAGTTTATCTCTAACCTTCTATAAAATCTCAAGTGGTGATAAGACTGAATTTCCCTGAAAATCTTTTAACTTGGTAATATGTAAAATTGCAATTTCTTATTTTTTAAGCAGCATGCTTCATTTCCTAAGCCATTCATTGGAAAAGAGCACACCAAAATTATGATACTTATGTGTACTTATGAGATATATATAATATATATACAAAATATATATAATGAAATTAGTTAAAATAAGTATAAATAGTTATGAAATATATATAATATGTTTATACAATAGAAAAATAACATTTTGTTGTATCTCCGACAGAGGAAAAATAGAAAAATTAGTAAATCCAATTGGATCGTCTCTTTGAAAAATACATTCAGTCATTCTCTAAATTGAATGAAATTTTGATATTTTTCTAAAGCTCTTGAAATTGTGAAACCTCAGGGTATTCAAGAAAAATACGGGAACTATTACATGAAGTTCTATTTCTCACTTATTTTAACAAATAATAGAATTTCTTCTTGGAATGTAACTCAGTTACCTAGCTCCTTCATTTTGCCTTTTCCTCTGGTCTTCTCCACAGCTAAGTCAAATAACAGAATTTATAGAGGATAAAATAGACACTGTCACTTCTGAGTCTTTTCATAACTTTTCTTCTTTTCCTAAGCTCTTTTTTTCTACCCTTGTTCTCTTCTAAAATCCACCTCTTCTATCAAAGTTTACTTCTGCATTATATTTTCTATACCAAATTACTATCATTTATTCATCACATAATAATAAAGATTGTCAGAAGTGATTTTTCTTGGGAGTATTTAAGAAACAATTACTTACTGCGCCAAGTAGTAACCAAAAGGAGAGGTGCTGATTGAGAGAAATGGTTGTACTCAAATACTCCCAAGTCAATGTGGTTGATTTCCTCATGATCATAAGAGAAGACTTAGTATAAAATAAATATATTTTTGGCACTAAATTTTTTGATGCATTTTCTTTGTTGATGTAGTCTCTGTCATTGTTTTTATATTTACTTTTTTATACATTAGAATGTTTTTCATGCATTTAACAAATATAATCGTGGAAACTCCTAGCTATCAAAGTACCTACAGGTTATATGGTTTAACTTTATCCTAGAGGCTCATATTATACTTGAAATTCTTTCTTTATTTGTAGCTTAAACATCTCTTTAAATCCTCTTTTCACTTTTTCTGCTCTTGACTTGGTTAATATTGTTATATTTTAATTAACAACCTTGAAAGCAGCTTACATTGGGTCTTTCAATTATTATGTTCTCCCTTGCCTGAAGCTGTTCGTTTGGATCTGCAGGAATTACCTAAAAAAACACAAACCAAAATCTTAAGTACCCTTCATAAATTAGTCTCAGTGTTATCTTTCCTTAAAAGTAACAGCTTATCTCACTAGAAAAAGATAAAATCTTCTAACTTTAAATATTGCTAGTATTTTAAAATGCAATATTTTGATTTACATATAGATTTAATAATATATAATTATATATTAAATGTAACATGCATCACACATACATTAAAATTCTATATGTGTGTATGTATATTTATGTTGAAAGGGAGAAAGAAAAAAATTATTGATCATTAAAATTATATAATCATTTTGATATCATTTAGAACTTTGAATCATGATTCTTTTAATATTTCTACTCTCATTTATGCTTAAATTTTCTGTGATACGTCCTCCAAATAATATCCCCTACCACTAAAGCTGTTATTTACTTTTTTCATATTTTTTTCTATTTTTCTCTCACTCATCTCATATATTGTGTTTGAGTTTCCACATATTCTACCGGTCTTGAGTTTTTTCATGTCCTATGGCAACACACACACACACAGGCATGAACACACATGCATCTGACAAGCATGTGTAAACACATACAGTGTATACACACAAATCACTTACAGACTGGAAAAGACTTATGTGTTAATAATCCCTGTAAGACTCCTGGGCAGACCTTACATTAACTGTTCCAGGATGAAGAAAAATGTATTTCTTAATCACTTTAATAGTTTTTCATAACTACCCTAAAATGTTTAGCAGATTGAAAAGTCCATATGTAAGGCTGTGAAATACCAGATTCAATTCAATTTTTCTTTGACTCTGCTTGGACACTGAGGCAAATATAAAGCCAAATATAAATAAACATTTAACCCATTTTCCTTTACTGCAGGAAGAACCACATTAGTTTTGGATACAACTGAACTAAAACATGTTCTCTAGAATTGTCTAGGCAGAGGATAATTGTACTGATTCTCAATTTACTCATTTGTCAATGGGAATAAAAATCTCTACAACATATGGATATTATAGAACTTAAACGAAGGCCAGGCATGGTGGTTCACACCTGTAATCCCAGGACTTTGGAAGGCTGAAGCAGGTGGATTGCCCTGAACTCACAGGTTCGAGACCAGCTTCAGCAAGAGCAAGACCCCGTCTTTAAAAAAACTAGCCAGGCCTTGTGACAGGTGCCTATAGTCCCAGCTACTTGGGATGCTGAGGCAAGAGAATCATTTGAGCCCAAGACTTGGAGTTTGCTGTGAGATATGATATCACAGCACTCTATTAAGGGTGACAAAATGAGAGTCTGTCTCAAAACAAAAAAAGAAAAAAAATTAAAGAAATAATCATGATCAGTAACTAATTTCCTATTTTACCACTGTTCTTCCATCCCTATGTTTTCATAGGAACTTTTGAAATTCCTGGATTCAAGATATTTTTTATGATATTCTGGGTTGGAGAGGAAACACGGAAATAATACTCATTAAGGTAGAATTCTCTCTCTGTTTGTTCATATATGGTCAACTCAGATGAGAAGGAACACCAGATTTTCCACTAGCTCTGTGACCTTTAAAACAATTGCTTACCTCTTTGAGCCTGTTCTTCCCTTTGTACAACGTAATTAATAATCCTTACCTTGCAGCTGTGTATTTATTAGGAATATTCTATCTAAAATTCCACCCGCACACACACTACATATATACACACAGAATCATACCTATCAATTTAGAGGCCGGGTCCACTTTCAACTTTATTTTTAAGTATCCTGAGAAGGCAGAGGCCCTAGATTAACAATGCTACACATAGTTAATTTTGTAGCACCACTAGCTAGTTTAAAGATACAAGACTCAGAATCAGGAAACTAGCTACTCTTCCTCTAACAAGCTGAGTGAACTTAAAGTTCTTAGCAGTGCGCTCCTTAACTCATTAAAGAAAATGGTATAGTTGACTTACTTGGTGTCTAGAGTCTCCTTAGCTCAACTATCAAAGATTGTATAATTTCAGTTGTTAAATGCTGTTAGCCTCATAACCTTTAACATTCAGAAATACATTGGGCCCTAAAAATACCAAAGAATACATATCATCATCAAAGACTGATCTATTATTGCAGCTGAGGGTTTAGATAAATGTTAGAAAGGCACTGTATTAGGATTAGATATTTTGCTGCATTATGTAACTGACTATCACAAAACTTTGGTATGGCAGTATAGTTATATTTTGTGGGGAAGGAAACTGAATATCAAAGAAATTAAGAGATATCATCATAATTGTGCAAGAGATCATGAATCAATAAGTGATAAGAGTCAGATCCAAGATCTATCACCCATCATTTTCTACCATCTAACTTATCGTAAAAATACTATTTCATTAAAACTTTTAAAATTGGAATAAAGAATTAAAAATATGTGTTGAGGTTTCCATTTAATATAGGATTTTTCCATAGGTCGTATCTATTAAAACAGCATCACACATCATTACCTGTGGCGGGAGCAGTGGCAATCTTATAAAGGCAAGAAGCATGCTCAGGTCGCTGCATCTTCTCTGCATGTCATACTTCACCCACATCATCAGTGCATGAAAAATGGTTTCTTCATCAGGAACATTGACATCATCACTGGCCAGAAGTTTATGGAGCTCCTCAGCTGGAAGGAGTAAAAATTCTTGATTTCTGATAACTTCCATTATGTTTTCCTGCAGGGAAAAAACATCTTGGCATGAATTTTGCTTTTCTTTTCTTTAGCTAGTAAAGCATCTCAAAAAGAAATGAGAAAAGTAGTCAATAACCTTTGTTCTCATTATAAGATAATCCTTGAGACTCAATCCTTCAGAAACTAGAAGCTGTTAAGATGAAAGCATTGTAATTGTAATTGAAATGTAAATGTATCCCAGACAGCACAGATCTTGTAATAACTGGAGGATTATCACGTTGAGCTTTGTTCTGCAGGCAGAATATACAAAGTGATTAAGCATTCAAGTTTCAAGTACACCACGATGTACTATTGGGTGAATATGAAAAGAATAACTTCTCACATTTTTGAATGTTTGACTATGCATCTGTATATATGTGTGTATCAGAAAATGGCAATAAAATTACATAGAGAAAGGTAACACTATAAGATGGATCATTGCTTATTCAAAAGGCAGAAACAGGATCAATAGGCCATAGGAATCACCAAATCACACGTTCCACCCAACCTCTTATTTTTTCTCATGCCTCCTTCTCTTCACAACAATTCTTTGCCTTCATTCAGTTTTCTATTTGTTTTCATGCAAACGGCCACCATCACCTCCTAATTACTCTGCTGATGCTATTCTTGGCTTCTCGACAGCATCCTCTATACTGAAGCCAGAATAATATTTCTAAAGCATAAATAGTCTCAGTGCTATTCTTAAGTTTTTGTTTTTGTTTTGTTTTGTTTAATGGTTTCTACTTGTGTTCTGGTTCACATTTTTTGTTTAAGCACATTGATGTTCATAATCTGACCTCTTCTGGTTCTAATAACTCATTTTCTTTCCTTATTTGCTTGTCAGGTTCCAAAAGTACTTCCTCCTCTTACAATTTTCCAAACCTTTCGACATGTCCTCCTTTATTGACTCCAGCATGTAGAATGGCTTTGATGGCCCCTGTTTCCTGATTTCTGTCACATTTGAAGATTCAATTCAGGAGACACCTGTTGTACCTGGTCTCATCTGATCCAGCTGTGCCTCTAGTAAGCCCTACAATGCATGATATGTATATCCCAACATAGCAGTGACCAAACTGCGGCCTAATCTTTGGTGGATTTAGGGCATCTTATCACAAACTGTAATCTGGTAAACCCTGGTTTATATGACATTGTATAGCTAGATCCTGGGACAGAACATGGAAAACAGAATGAGAATAGCATATGTTTATTGAATATGAATTGAAGATCTTTGTAGAGAAAAAATTTTAGAAATAGGACACAGTAGTGCAGCCTTTTTTAAACATTTAAAAAACTTATGAAAGTCAGTAACTTTCATATGATTTAAACAGAGAGGCTGGCAGACACTGGGAGCCAAGACAGAGATTCACATTATCAGGTCTCCTCTTTGTTCTACCCCATCTATGTGTCCTGGGACAACTCCAAGGAAGACATGACAAAGGCTCCTCAAATCATACTTATAAAGCTGCAGTTGTGGTAGAAATAACCCGTAGGACACATATTGTAGGATAAAACTGGAAGTGGGGAGAGGCTGGGACTCTTCCGAAGAAGGCATCGTGAACCAGGCTCTGCTGTACTGCACAAGTGAGGATTAATCCTGTGTAGGTTAGAGCAGATTCCAACTTATTTCTGAGGAGAAATCTGATCCTCATTGTCAGTATATCCTTGGAACTGAAGTGCCGTCAGCTTTCACAAGAGGATGCTAATTTTACTTTGTATTGTAGCATCTGCTACTTAGTGCCATTAATTTTATGGTAATGATGTAATTCATATATAATATACCTTAATTACATTCATTAATATCGCAGATTAACTTAAAGTTTTTTGCTTTTTGTTGTTGTTTTTAAAAAAATTTTGTTGTTGTTGTCCCCTGAGTTTCCTTTGGGCTTAATACAGCACCATGTCAGTTACAGGTGTCCAATAACTATTTACGGAATTCACAAATTAAGTATTCTAAGATTTAGAGCTACCAAGTTTCTCCCAAAAGCTATGGTAAGGTAAAGATGCTTTAGAGACATCTTTGAAAGATCTTTGTCTATCTATTTTTCCAGTTACTGCAAAATCTATTTGCTATTAAACTACACACAGAATCGTACAACCAGGCTGACACTTTATAGTGAGAGAAATCATAAAAAAAAAAAAAAAAAAAAAACCAGCTCTGTGAAACTCTCAGTAGTATCTATCATAAAGATCTTGTTCAAGGAATATTTCATTATATTTTATAGTGTCCTCTTTACGATGACCCTTAGGACACATTTCTTGCAGGTTTTAGTAGCAGGAATAATTGCCCTTTTCTTGAGTAAATTGGTTTGCCTTTATCACAGATGCTGTAAATTATGAAATTGATCAGATTCTCTTTTATTTTGCCTCTAGAAAACTTAGAGTTAAATTGAAATCTATCTAGTAGGAAGCCTATAGATATTTATAGTTTGATTTCTCTCTCAGACAGCTCTGATAATAGTTTCACTTAGTATCTCTACAGTAGTTTTCTTGTTTTTTTCCCCTTTTATCCATGCATCTAATCGAGAGCATTTCCCATAATGTTGTGCCTTTGTAAGTCATACTAAATCTTCTGGGAACCAGCAATGTCATTTTTAAAAACTGCTAAAAATAAACTGGACATTAGGAACTGTTATCTGATAACACTGCATCTATCACATTTCCCCATTTATCATGTTGTTTATTATTGTTTTATTAACATACTTTGGAGTTCTGAAGTTCTCTCTGCTTTTTATTTCCCCTCCATAAAGTCTCCTTTGAACAGAAAAAAAAAACTATAATTTTAGGGCAAAATTTCTTTTATACATTTTCCTCTATTGATGTTAGAATTTAAACTTTCTAAAAAGGCAGAGTGGCGAGAGTCACCTTTCCTGATTTATCAAAGATTTATTGTAATAAATACATTAAAGTTGCTACATTCACATATTACTGGCAAGATTCTAAACTTTCTGGGTTTCAAAACCAATTATGCTGTGCTTTTGATTATTTGCCTTGCCCGAAGCAACCCTTAATCAAAGTTGCTGAATGATTGAGCTCTTGAACACTACCTTAGAATTTCAAAGGAAATGGAAACTCATCATGAGATAGTCACATCTTGTTATTTTACAGATGAGAATACTGAGTCTCGCAGTCATACTGATAATCAAGACAAAGTTGGGGTTAGAAATTCAATTTCTCCTCCTTAGGTCTATGTCACTTCCCATTATACTGCCTGGGCCATCTTTCTATTCTTTGGTTAATTTCCTTCTGCTTCTTCTGTGTTTTGAGCTTAATATCTTGCTTTGACCTAGGCGAGTTATATGTATCCTTATTCTCGCCTAGACCTTGTTTACAACTCTTGATGTTCTGGGTTCTACATCTGGCATGGTGATTCCAGGTGGTTTCATTTAGAGACTTAGCCAGGATTTAGATCCCAAACCTGCTATTCACTGACTATGTAACAATAGAGAGTTAGATTTTCTATTTGTAAATGAAAATAAAACAGCATACATTTTAGAGCATTCTGATGAGGATTAGTGTGAAGATTACATTAAATTGGGTATGCTTAGACAAGGACCTGTCTCATAGCTGGCATTATGGAAGTGGAAGCCTTCATGCTCTGCATGGGACCCTGCCCTTCACTTCACCTTCCTTCCTAGCGTGAATGTCTACATACACATCATTTTATTCTCTAGTTTTTTCGGATTATTCAGTCAAATTCAAACAATAAAATGTTATTGAATTCTTGTTCTCTGGCTAGTGTGTACTTAATACTTGAAATACAGAGATTAGGAAAAAAAAAAGTTGTCCCCAAGAACCTCACTTTCTAGAGAGAAGGATAGTAAGATGCTGTAAGAGAAATATATGCATTTTATGAATAGAGGAAAATGAATGACTTCATGGAGTTGAAGGAGTAAGAGGGAAGTGGAATAACAAAGATCAGGGAGGGGTTTGAGTTAGAAAATATCTACCTTTTTCTTCACTCTGAAATAACAATTCTCAAGATAAGGAAATATTTACAATACAATCATAGATTCTAAAGAATATTGATGTCATCTGGCCCAATTCTTATGTTATTGTTTAGCCACAATATAAAATAGGAGTTTCTACCACCTGACATCTCATATTGGAAACAATATAGGAAACCACTTAATTTAGTTCAATCATATGTACCTCTGCCGCTCACTGCTCATCAGTGAGTATTTTTAGTCATGGGAAACCTATAATCCTATGAGGAAGCCCCTATCATTGATGAATAGTTGTATTGGAAGATCGCCCTCATTTCAAAGTAAAATCTGCTTTCTTGTAATTTTCTTACCACCCATGGAAAATCAATTACTATACCATCTATTACCTTGAAGATTAGTATTTCTCTCCCTTATATGGTATCTTTTAAAGGGCAAAGCTTTGCCATTCTTTAATTTCTTTAAATGGCTTACTCTTTAACACCAGAAAAGGATGCCAGAGGGTAAGATGTACTGTTAGCTGACTTTTTGCAGAATATTCTGTACTAGCATTTTTCTTAATTACTTCAGAAATGGAAATAAATACAACAAAAATAAACAGATATTTTCAGTAACTTTATATTGTTTATTTACATCCTTTTTTTTTTTATCATTCCTGAGTCCATTTACCAAAAATAGCAGAAAAAACATATTAAGGTATTGCTGTATAAAATCTTCATTTCAATAATAATATATTTGTATAGTTCACAATATATAGTGACATATGTGAGTATATACTTTATTTTATGTATATAAAATATACTTGTTTAATATCATTCAGATGATACAACAAAGAAAAAAGTATTAAAAGAGCTGTTGATTAGTAGGATGTAAGCACTCCAATTTGTACAAATAATGAACACATTGAATCCTGTAATAACATAAATGTATTTATGATCTATGTACAAATTACTTACTTTAAAAAAGTATACAAGTTCATCAATGTTTTCCTGTTTCTTATCCATTTTCTCACTAGTGCTTCAAAAATTAACATAGAATAAAATTTTTTAAAGTATTTAAATTA